AGCAGTGATGTGGTGGTTCACTTTTACACTGTGATCTGTAGCCTATAGTTCGGCTTTAGCTTCTAACTATCTTTGTCTTTTTAACCTGTTGTTGCTGCTGAGTCAGTTTGACATCCTGGATATATCCTTCAAACACAGACTGTAGACCCCTCTGTCTGCTTCTCTCTGGAATCACTGGTTCATTGTTCCATAAATATGATAATATTTCTTCAGGGAGTGCAGTTAGTTACAGTGTGGACTCCATGCTTACTCTGACAGCATGTCGGACCATCACAAAGGGGCGGGGCTTAGCGAAAGGTGAATTACTGGCTCATGATTATGTGGGATGTATATGCAAATTGTTGTGCATTCCTTTCTGTAGGTATATGTATGAAGTGTGTATGAAAACAGCCTGCAAAATAAGAACATTTCTCAAAAAAACAACAACTTAGTATCTAAAAAATAATTATGTAGCATCTCAAAATAATGAGTTAGTTTAATTTCTCATTATTCTCAGAACTTTTTCTATTTTTAACTGTTTATATGTTCAAAATAAAGCAATCAATCAATCAGATAATAAGTTGTTATTATTTATTTCAAGACAGTTTATAATTACCTACAAGATCTTTTTTTCCCCTCGCAATGTCAGAAATGGGCTTCCATACTTTTGTAACATGATGATGAAACAGATTTAAAATGTGTTTTTTAAATCACTTACATTATATTCTCAAAACTATGTTCAGAAACCTGTGAATGGACCTAAAGGAGTCACTGAGGACTGAGACAGTGTTGACCTATTAGAGCTCACTTGGCACCTGGGAAACCATCTGACCAAGCTATTAGAGCAGACGCAGTGGATGCTGTCTGCCAGGTGTCCTCCACAGGAGGCAGATTGGGAGTGAAAACACACACAGACACAAACACACGTGCATGCACCACAGACTTTGCCCAAGATATATGTTCACCAATGGATGGAAATCGCATTTCCAGCAGACAGAATGGGTGAAACGTCTGAGGGCCCCCACAATGCAGCTGCTTTCCCACCCTGCCACCTGCCTTTTAAACTAATAGTGATTGTATAGACAACTTCCTTTATAAGGAGGGGACGAAGTGGAGAGGAGAGATATTAGGATGGATGGAGACACATCATCTGTGATTTTCTCATTTAGGGCCGGAGTTTGACGTGAGAGTGGGTGTTTGGGATCCACAAAAACAACTGAGAGTCAATGTGCTCTGCATCTCCGAATTGCATTATTGCAAATCAATTGAAGGCGTATTACAAGCCTTATGTTTTCTATTAACCATCCCTGTTAAATGGCTTTATTATGGTGTGGTCACGCCAACCATGTAATGCTCTCAAGAGCTCATATATGTCAGAAATGTTCAATCTGCAGATTGCATGCTGAGGTCATTGTCCTTCAGGTCACCCAAGGTTGATGCCATAGTTACCAACATAACAAGAGCCCAATCCTGGCCTCTGATTAACCTGAACAACCAATAGAAACAGAGAAGAATAGCAGAGGCCAGCATGTTCTGTTCTTTACAAATGGAAATACGAGTCCCCTTTACACTGCTCAGTGGTCAGGAGTTCAACTCCAGCGCAGAAAAGAAAAGCAATAAGGAAAATATTCTGTCATCGACCAGTGGCAACACAACAAGCAAAAACTGATAACAGTTCTTGAAAATAGCTTAAAAATTAGACCACTACACTTTGTAAATAGTAGAAGAAATTAGTACCTTACATAAATCACTCAATTTGTTTCAAGGATTTTCTGAAATAATTTGCATTTGTCTTTAACTGATTCAAATAAAGGAAAAAGAAGATAATGGTAGTGTTGTTTTGTGTTTTTGCTGATAAACAGATTGAATAATTTCGGAAAATCCAGGTGGATTATCTTGACACAAGTTCAATAATCTCGTGCTTGACGAGACCATCTTCATGGCAGTTTAGTGGCACAAATAAAAATAGTTACATTACACCACTGGACCCAGAGTGTAGCAAAGTTACTCAATTACTCTATTTATGTAAAGTACTTGACTTTACTTGAATATTTTCATTAAATGCTACTTTATACTTCTGCTGCACTACATTTCAGAGAGAAATATTGTACTTTATGCTCCACTATTTTAACTTGACAACTGTTATTTTTCAGACTAAGATGTTACATTGAGAAAAATATGATACACTTGAAATAAAACTTTAAAAAAGAGTATTGTTATGGATTAAACCAGTGGTTTGTAGGCTTTTTGACTTGTCTCACCTTGAACCAAGGAAACATCTATTTGTCATATCTTGTCATGCTTTAAAAGTCCATGACTTGTTAGCTGCTCCACCAAAAAACACATTTACCTTCCTATCTTCTCACTTGATTTCATTTAAAAAGGGCCAATTTTTTTTACACAAAAAGTAAAGATGAGGAAAAGTACAAAAAAAAAAAAAAAAAAACATGAGGCCAGATCCCCAGGTTAGGAACTAATGAAGTTAACTACCAAACTGTATATTCAGTAGTTATGACGAGCTCCATCTCAACTTGGTTATGGTTGGAAAAAGATCATATTTTTGGCTTAAAATACCTAAATTTGGGGGGAACAATTACCACTGTCTGAGTGATAAAAACAATGCCTTTTAATACCACTTTTATGCCGACAGACGCCGGGATGTCTTGGCAAAAAACAATCACTTTTCGTGCTATTATCCCCTCTGGAAACGAAGCAACAGGTCGCTACAAAACACCAATGTTTGGTGCCTAAAAAGCAGCTGGAAGCACAGCAATGACTCACTAAATCACACTAGGTTTTGATGTTTGTTGGTCTCGAACAGTGGTCTGCACCTTGGCAGGCGACGCACCTCGGTGACACACCATTCAGCATCCCCTCCACCTCCAGGTGACAAAGTCAGCTCATATACTACGTCACCTAAGAACCATTTTATGTATGACACGTGCAAATGTAATGTATTTGTGGTTTTCAGAAACATACGATGCCATTTTTTTGTGGTGCTCCTCACTTTCATGTTTCAGTGACTGTATAATAATGTCATAAATTATAATCTATCACTCACTGGGGCAATGTTTCTGCAGAACAAGTACTATTTAAGGCACTTTAAGTACATTTTGCTGGTAGTTTTTTTTAAGCAGGAGTTTATATGCAGAATCTAATGCAGTAATGCTGTAATGCAGTATTTAAAAAATGTTTTATTAGTACTTTCACAGGATCTAAATACTTCTCCCACCACTGTCTGGATCAAATTCCCTTCATATCTCCCATATCTTCCTGTCATCTGTCTAATAAAGCAGAAATACCATTAACAAAAATCACCCTTGATCCAGAAACACTCACCTGTTCCTCCTGTGTCACCTGCAGAGCTCACGGCCCCGACGCTCGTATCCTGGAGGAGTCGAAGATGCTCCCGCTGGGTCAGCTCACTCTGCCTCAGATGCTGCACATCGCCGCCCAGATCGCCTCGGGCATGGTCTACCTGGCATCGCTGCACTTCGTCCACCGTGACCTGGCGACCCGCAACTGTCTGGTGGGGGAAGGCCTGGTGGTCAAAATCGGAGACTTCGGCATGTCCCGAGACATCTACAGCACAGATTACTATCGGGTAAGTGGCTGGCAAAAACAAAGACAAGACTTTTGTTTTTGGTCGTGAGATGAAAACTTGATGTTGTTCTCAAAGTAACAGTTTAGCCAATTTACAAAGACAAGATTTGTTTTTCACTCAGCTATAATGTTGTCTGGCCTTGTGAGCAGTTTTGTCTTTGGTGGCTCTGGGTCCATTCTCTCTTTACTTAAATCCTTTGAATTGAAGCTATTTTGGATGTTAAAACTCTCATTGTCTTGGTTAGTGGGGAGTTCAAGGACAAACAGGAATAAGAATCTGTTAGAGATTTCTTAAAAAATATCTGTGCTGCTGAAAGATGGTATTTCTGCTTAATTCCATCAACAAAGCAAAGTGGTTAAATGTTCACCTTGAGACTTCTGTTATGCAACCATGATGAAGCATTACATCACCTCGTCTTCCTCCTCAGGTGGGCGGACGTACGATGCTGCCGATCCGCTGGATGCCTCCGGAGAGCATCATGTACAGGAAGTTCACCACAGAGAGTGACATCTGGAGCTTTGGTGTGGTCCTCTGGGAGATCTTCACCTACGGCAAACAGCCCTGGTACCAGCTGTCCAACAGTGAGGTGGGTTTGGACGGAAAGTTTATCAATGATTTTGATGGTCAACAATAACTGAGAGGTTCAAATCAATAAATCTTTTTTTATTATCAGAGGAAACACCCACACAAACGTGCCTTTGTAGCCTTCATCACTCCAGTTAAAGGGTCAGTTCACCAAAACGTTCTCAGTTACCTTTTGTTGCATCTAGCTGTACAGATAGTTTTGAGATATGTCACCCCAACACAATGAAGGTGAGTGAAATTCAACATTCTGGGAACATCAACATTTTAGGAATACAGCTCAATACCACCTTCATGTCTGTAGCAATGCATTCTCATCCCAGGTCATCAAAAACCTTTCTCACGGTCCTTGCATGTAATAGCGTCATCAAAGGCACCCTTTTGCGTCTATGGGATGCAACCTTTAACGTCTGTATGCGACCGTCACAGCAAACACAACTGTGGGCACTTTATGCTTTTACTTATACCAAACACTTGCCTAGGGCTTCCAGAGCTTTGCTGCCGTACATACACTGAACAAAAATATAAACGCAACACTTTGGTTTTTGCTCCCATTTTTCATGAGCTGAACTCAAAGATCTAAAACATTTTCTCTAAACACAAAAGACCATTTCACACAAATATTGTTCACAAATCTGTCTAAATCTGTGTTAGTGAGCACTTCTCCTTTGCTGAGATAATCCATCCCACCTCACAGGTGTGGCATATCAAGATGCTGATTAGACAGCATGAATATTGCACAGGTGTGCCTTAGGCTGGCCACAATAAAAGGCCACTCTAAAATGTTCAGTTTTGCTTTACTGGGGGGATATTGGCAGGAACTGGAACACGCTGTCGTATACGCCGATCCAGAGCATCCCAAACATGCTCAATGGGTGACATGTCCGGTGAGTATGCTGGCCATGCAAGAACTGGGATGTTTTCAGCTTCCAGGAATTGTGTACAGATCCTTGCAACATGGGGCCGTGCATTATCATGCTGCAACATGAGGTGATAGTCGTGGATGAATGGCACAACAATGGGCCTCAGGATCTCGTCACGGTATCTCTGTGCATTCAAAATGCCATCAATGAAATGCACCTGTGTTCGTTGTCCATAACATACGCCTGCCCATACCATAACCCCACCGCCACCATGGGCCACTCGATCCACAACAGATCAGCAAACCGCTCACCCACACGACACGCTGTCTGCCATCTGCCCTGAACAGTGAAAACCAGGATTCATCCATGAAGAGAACACCTCTCCAACGTGCCAGATGCCATCGAATGTGAGCATTTGCCCACTCAAGTCGGTTACGACGATGAACTGCAGTCAGGTCGAGACCCAAATGAGGACGACAAGCATGCAGATGAGCTTCCCTGAGACGGTTTCTGACAGTTTGTGCAGAAATTCTTTGGTTATGCAAACCGATTGTTGTAGCAGCTGTCCGGGTGGCTGGTCTCAGACGATCTTGGAGGTGAACATGCTGGATGTGGAGGTCCTGTGCTGGTGTGGTTACACGTGGTCTGCGGTCGTGAGGCCGGTTGGATGTACTGCCAAATTGTCTGAAACGCCTTTGGAGACGGCTTATGGTAGAGAAATGAACATTCAATTCACGGGCAACAGCTCTGGTGGACATTCCTGCAGTCAGCATGCCAATTGCATGCTCCCTCAAAACTTTCGACATCTGTGACATTGTGCTGTGTGATAAAACTGAACATTTTAGAGTGGCCTTTTATTGTGGCCAGCCTAAGGCACACCTGTGCAATAATCATGCTGTCTAATCAGCATCTTGACCACACCTGTGAGGTGGGATGGATTATCTCGGCAAAGGAGAAGTGCTCACTAACACAGATTTAGACAGATTTGTGAACAATATTTGTGAGAAATGGTCTTTTGTGTGTATAGAAAATGTTTTAGATCTTTGAGTTCAGCTCATGAAAAATGGGAGCAAAAACAAAAGTGTTGCGTTTATATTTTTGTTCAGTGTACATATATTACCAGGGAGTAAACGTTAGGCTGCCAGGATGTGGGCCTACCTGTTACCTCGCTGTCCCAGCAGTCACTCAGTCAGCTTGCTCTCCGTGGTCTCCTGCTTAGTGTCAGTACTCAATTGTCATTATATTTGTAGACATTAAACACGCAGACAATAACTGGAGGAAGGAAACTCCACCATCTGTCGTCTTTGCAGGCCTCAGAAACCTCTCTCCTCGACTGAGGCCCCGCACCTGGTTCCAATCGTCTCTCTTAATTATGTCAGCACGTCCCCTTTCAAACTAACACAGGCTCTACACCTAGGTAAGCCAAGCCCACCTCTCCTCCTGCCGACACCTAGATGGACTTTACTTAAAACATCATTGTTATGCACCCGTCTAAAGGAGCACGAGCGCAACATGTTTTGTATTGTATTGTATCTAAAGTTGTTGTTTTGGCCTTGGTTCAGCCTGAGTTGCACTCCTGCTCCCCTAGACTGGGACACAACATACATAAGTTGCTCTGAGCGTCAAATATTGCACCAGATGGGTTTACATTGGATTTAGTTGAAAACCTGCTTCCCATAAAGATGTTAAGGGTGCCTTTGGCGTCAGTATCACACGCTGAGCTCTGAGCACTGGTTGCTTGCACCTGGCCAAGAAATAAGAGCAGTAACTTAAACTTACTATTTCTTTTATTCCTCAGGTTTACCTTTTGTATTCTTAGACAAATTAGCATCTTGTACAGCATGGAGTAATAAAACTTTAGGCAAGTGTGATTTTAAGACAGATTAACAAAGATTACTTTGTGAGCATACAAAAAAACCACAGTTCCTATGAAACCTTACTGCAGGCAGCTTGGTGTAATCCATATCCATAAAAATGACTGTGCGCATTTTTTTTTAAATGACCATCTCTATCTAGACATATATGGTCCAGTTCCAAGGATGGATTTTTATTTACTTGCATAGTCATAAAAATCAATGGGATTTTGAATGATCTGGTTTCCAGACGGCACTTTAAAACCGAGAAGACAAACAACAGGACGTCAGTAAACTAAATGTCTTACTTGCTTGGACAGTGGGATGGACTGTGCCCCCGCCCAGGGAAAGTAGTCTCTTGGCAGAGTACTTTCTCTCTGCTGTTGTAGACACAGTTTAATATTTCACTGTTTGGTTTTAACTTGACGCCCTGCGCTCAGATTTCCCGTCAGACATCAGGATTTATTTTGGCATGAGGTAATTGAATTTGACCTCCAAACCTCAACAAATGAAACTGAAACTATCTAAGTGGCTACAGTGGCTAAAGCTTTTTTGAGTGTGTATGTAATTTAGGGGAACTGTGCCTTTAAACTGGATAAAAGAAACTACAGGGAGTTATCTTGTATGACTGAACTTGTTGGTTAGCTTCTTACTGCTTTACCTGCATTGTTTATGGGAGAGACGATACATACTGCTTAATTGTTACTGTTTTTCCTGTTTTGTTAAAGGAATACTTCCCCCTGCAAAATGACCATTTGCATATCAATTACTCACCCTCTCCAAAGTTGAACTTGTGAAGACAATGTTTTTCTTGTATGCCTCTACAGTGAACGAAAAATCCAAAAACTGAGAAAATTCTTGAAAACATCCATTTACAATCTCTCACACATGTCATGCAGCATAATTTAAGTCTCATTTATCCAGTCATATGGTCAGTACTTCCCAAACAGACCACCCTTTCGAATGAACTGAACTAAAAGTAGTGGTAGACCAGAAGCTCCTGTGTGCAGCAAGGTAAAATTACTGTTTTTGTCAGTGGAGTCTGGCCTTAAAGAAAGCACTGGTAAGTTTCACTTCCCTGTTAGGAAGGGTTGTCTGTTTGGGATGTACTGATCATCCAACTGGATGAATGAGAGTTTGTAGGTAGATGTTTTGACACAGTTTTGTTGCTGTAAAACATGGACCCCTATGACTTCAGTTCATCAAGAATTTTTGCCATTTTTGGATTCTTCGTTCACCAAGGAGGCATGCGATAAAAATGAAATATTATTCAAGGAATTCAACGTAACGCAGGGCGAGTAACTGATATACAAGCAGTCATTTGGGGGTTGAAGTATTCCTTTAAAATTCTCCAGCAGCTACCAAAAACTGGCCTCCTGACGTCCTCCATGAAACCAAAACTTTTGTTTTACACTTTATCTTGTACAGATTAAACAGATACAACCTGTTAATGAGTGAGCATTAGAGACGTTGGTAGGCAAACTTTATCACCTAGGTTGGCTGGCTAATCCTATACTGGCAACAGCTACATATTTAATGGACAGATATAGGAGTAGTATCAATCTTCTCCTCTACCTAACTCTTGACAAGAAATCAAAAACTGGTAAGCGTATTTCCCAAAATGTCAAATTATTACTTTAAACATTACTTTACATGGTTTGTGTGCATTTGGACAAATGTAAAGGGATGTTTTCTGTCAGTTACAGTTAATACAGCAAGGTTTACATTTTGATAAGAGTTTACAAAGCGTATTGTGGTTTTTTTTAAGGCTTTCTGACCAAAAATACCTCCCTGTTGGCAAAAACTCACTGCTGTGAGATAGTGAGAGGAAACAAAACAGTAATTTTACAAGTCTGACAGCTAAACAATGATCTGAAAATTGTTATAAAGCTCAGTAAAGGAGAGGGAAACTACAGACTGATGAGACTGACCCCTTTCACATTGTTTTTACACTGTCATGTTGTTTAAAAATATTGATTATAGGTGCTTCAAAATTATTTAAATATATCAGATTAGCTTAAAGTAGCTACACGTACTAGTGCAAACACATTTGTAGCCCAAATAGCAGCCTGAAATGTCTTGCTGCTTTCAGATAATCCAAACTTGCAGAACAAAACATTTTCAGTGTAGCTGTGGATACTTCAGAGCATATGCTGCTGAAGTTTTTCACCGCTCTGCGCTCTTAAACTAATCAATAAATTCATAGTAATTAAGGGCAGTCCAGTCTAGCCTTTTCAGGTGGAGCACCAAGACGTGGGACTCCACTGCGACCACAGCGGTGCTATTACAGGCCCAAACCCTCTCTCCTTTCAAGAGAAGGGTAGATCACTTTTCTCTGGCACTCAATTCTAATCTCATTGGCTCTCATTTTTGCCCGGGGCCAATGAGCTTTAACCTTGTTAACCCAATCTGTCTCGGCCAATGAGGAACAGGCGAAATTATCATGTTGCCTAAACACGCAGTGGCGGAGATAAATCATCCCAAAATACTGACTCGGCGACAGCGGCCATTTTGGGGCAGCCATTGTGACTCTCTGTGCTGAGCTGTGAGGCTGACTGACAGGCCATTTTGGTGTGAATTGGCTCAGCGCTGACAGAGCTCTTCTGTTCATTGTATCAGGCCAAGGTTAACAATGGGGAAGAGATTGAGTCAGTAACCCTTCAAATGGAGAGCGCAGCGAAATCCTCTCTCTCATCCTCGACAGTGATTTATTCACTGAGCAGCAAGAGCGTGTGAACTCAATCAGTCATTGTGGCCATTAGAGTCTGAGCTGGAGGTTATTCATATTTTGGCTGCTCTCATTTGTCCCTGAGGTCCCTGCTAATGGACACATATCTGTAAATCTGGAGATACAAAGGTTGTTCTACCAAAAAGTATCTGTTAGTTAAAAAAATATGTCCTTGGTGCAGCATCCACTGTTCCGTTGAATGAATTTTAGCACAGCCTGAGAATTAAAACTGAATCATCCCCAGAAGTGGAAAATGTTCTCTTATCCATTAAGGTATCTCAACATCTACCGTGTGGATTGACACTAACTTTAAAAGACATTTATGACTAATAACCACATTTGATTTTCCCTTTAAGGCGAAATTTATACTTCTGTGTCCAAATGACGCTGTATACCTACGCGGTAGGCTCTGTATCAACATAGAGCCTGTTTTGTACCCTATGCCTTAGCCTGTTGTGCACCTCCCCAGAAATGTAACTAGGTGTCTTGGCGACACAGACCAACTGTCTATTTTCTGTAAGCTGTAACCATTTCCCTCAGTGGAAACGAAGCTTTTATTTACTTTAATTTCACAGATAAGAAACAATAAATTGCAAAGACAATAAAGCCTCCACAAAAATAGCATTTTAACTCTTGTGTGTGATTTATCCTGGCTTCATATGAGTAGGGGAAATTTCTGCTCATCACTAGGCTAATTTATACAATGTAAAATGCCATAGGCTTGTGCTAATAACGTTAGCATGTTGTATTTGTTTGGAAAACATGTTTAGTATAAGACAGTTGTTTTGTCGGTGAACCTTGTGAGTTGCAAACGTTACCTTTGTTAAATGTTGCAGTTGTCCCTGGCTTCATATGAGTAGAGGAAATGTCTGCTAGCCGCTATGCTAATTTATACAATGTAAAATGCCATAGGCTTGTGCTAAAAACATTAGCATGTTGTATTTGTGGGGAAAATGTGTCCAGCAATAGACAGTTGTTTGTCTGTGAATGCTGCGAGTTATAGTGAAGCTGATTTGTTGACTTGTTTTTGAAATTGTCTCTATTAAGCCATGTTTAATGTGTGTTTAATGTGTGTTTTGAATCAACTAAACTTTACAGCACTTGACAGAAAACCTCCACCACAGCTCTGTGCTGGAAAGTTACTGTACTTAAAATTAAAGTGTGTTTTTCTACAAACTTGACACATTCACAAGTCACTTGCGGTCCATTCAGAGTGGACCTGTGACCCACTTTTGGACCACGACCCACCAGTTGGGAACCACTGTTTTAGTGTACTGTTTAGCTATAAAATGAGAACGTCTGTGACCTGGCCGCCATGTTGTAAACAGTCAAGCTAAAAATGAAACACAGCCCACGCAAACTTTATCATTTCACTGCTAAATATGATTGAAATATGTTTCTGAAAACACCTGAGGCGAGAAATAGGCAATACAGTAAAAAAAAAATTTTAATCATATTTGATCAGCACTGCCTAATTTGATAGCTTGACCGCAGCTCATGAGCACTTATTGACATGATTAACATCTGAGTTTAAGACTTCGGCTCTGATTGGTTGTTTTTATGATTCTAGTTTTTAAATTCCCACCCCTACAGGCCATTGAATGCATCACGCAGGGACGAGAACTGGAAAGGCCACGCACCTGCCCCAAGGAGGTGTACCTGCTGATGCAGGGCTGCTGGCAGAGAGAGCCCCAGCAGAGGATGGTCATCAAGGACATCCACAGCCGCCTGCTGGCCCTGGTCAAGAACCCGCCGGTTTACCTGGACATCCTGGGCTAAAGGGGCCGAGAACCAACCAGGGAGTGGAGGACAGAGGCTGGGGAGGTTGAGACCTAAAACATTTAATTCCATTATTCTAATCAGGGGTAATTACTTTTCACAGGTTCCTCTTGGTTTAAGATGAAAAATATGTCCCAGTTTTCCCAGCTGCTGCTGCTTTCCCAGCCTCTACGCTTTGATGGACAAACTGTCTGCAGTGACCTTCCAGCTTTGCCTCATCCCGGCTCGACCCCGTCCCCTGTTTACTGCCCCGTCACTCTCTGGAAACCTGTCAAATGTTTACCAAAGTGTTAAATGTTTATCTGAAGTGGAATCAGACAGATGGAGGGACATGCATGGATAAGTGTTGAAGTAACTGTATATGGGCTTTACGTTGTTGAGGGTGCGATCTCAGATGATGGTTTGTCGGGGGATTTTGGCTCTGAAGTCCCTGCGAAGGTTTGAGAGCTGAGCTGTGGTGCATTTAATACGACTCGACAGCCGACACTTGTGTTGAAAGGCAATTAGAAAATGAAATGAATGATTACAAAGGAGGGCACTTCACATCATGAGTCAAAAGTGGAAACCAATTTTTCTGATTTGGGTGAAGCAGTCAGTCACTTGTACAGTATAGTCACTGATTTTGGATAAGTTTTGATATGGGAGGTTATTCAAAGGCTTTCAGTAAATGTATATAAGATATCAAAGTTGTACAATCGAAACCTTGGAAAGCTTGTTTGTTTCTGAAGTGTCAAATCCAGTGTATCATATGAGTATTTTTCAAAATCATGAACAAAATGTCATATAAGTGTGTGTTTACATTTAATGCTGTCGGTTTTGCTGTCAAATATGAACAAAAAAATACTTCCAAAGAACTACAGTTTGACCTGTGGCCTGCCTGCGACACACTCAGGAGTGGCTTTTGTACAAATTAGCGATGTTTAACATGCTAACGTAACCACCTACAGTATCAAAGCACTGCAGTGAAATTCGGTAAGGGGGCAAGATGGTGGGGAGGGGACACACGGAGATGGTTTTAGAGGTAACAGATGGATTAAAGTGAGTCAAAGAGAAGGCCAGATGGCACTGAAACAGAAACTGGAGGTGAGTGGGGGAAAAAAAGTTTATTATCAACCAAATGGGGAATTTAGAGGGGGAAAGACTGAGTGTACAAACCGCTGTGATGCCTTTAAAGGGACAGTTCATCCCAAAATCAAAAATACATACATTCCCTCTTACCTGTAGATGTGTTTATCAGTCTAGATTGTTTTGGTGTGAGTTGCTGAGTGTTACTGGCCTTAGAGATGTCTGCCTTCTCTGCAGTATTATTGATTGATTTATTTTGTGTCATGCACAAAAACATGCCAAACACACATGGGTTTACAAGACACCAATGCTGCATTATCAATCTACAATACCAGTCCCCAAACAAAATACTCTGACTTCTATCCTAGCAAACAAGGTCCGCCACACAAAGGTTCCCCTTCAAAAAAAATAACTCAAATTTTTCATGATTATCCGACCAAAAGAAATCGACATAAATGGAGGTAATTTTCCTACAAAAGTATGTCCCTTTTATCTTCTAGAGTGGCATTGAACCTGCCTGTCTCTAAGCATGCTTTCACACCTGCCCTGTTTGGTTCGTTTCAATCAAATTCAAGTTTGCTTGCCCCCTACATGCAGTTTGTTTGGGCAGGTGTGAACACAGCAATCACACTCAGGTGCACGGCAAAACAACCAGACTGAGACCTTCTTGAAGAGGTGGTCTCGGTCTGGTTACAAATGAACTCTGGTGCGGTTCATTTGTGGTGAGAACGTGTTCCGACCTGGATCTGAACCATCTGCAGTCACATGACACATTGTTTGGGTTAAACATGAGCATGTTACAGTCCTGGAGGATTATTAATGTGCACCTCCTCCTGTACTGCCTTAATATGCACATTCAGCACATCCAATGCATCAAAACATTGTTTTCTAGTTGGAGCCGCGCCTCGTTTTCAAACTGTATGGTTTGACTAAAATGAACAATGACAGCAATATAGTCCACGATGAGCAGCGCTAAAATCAACCTGCGCAGTTGTCCCTCCATTGTGACATTAGAAAGTGTCACATTTATCTTGCAAGTGTACTCGTCTTCAACGTTTGCTTTACTTCCTGGATTTTTCCCACATGGAAATTCTGACCAATCAAGAGCAGCTTTCTCACACAAGGCATTTGATCTGGTCCGCTTGTAAATGCTGCCGTGAGAACACGAACCAACTCTAGGCAATTATACAGCTTGTAACAAAATTAGTCCCTGATTCAGACCAAAACAAGACAACTCTAGGAACTATTTTCTTTCTACCGAACTACACCCACCAACTGTATCACTGGGCAGAAGGAAGCAGCATCTACTGTTAGCTCACCTAGCACCACTGAGCTAGCTAACTTACAGCTCAGCAGAGGAGGACGCCATTAATGTTTACATCTCACTCTGTCACAAGCACAAGCTTCTCGCCCATGAGTAGATGCACACGTCCTTCTGCTCAGTGATACAGTTTGCAGGTGTAGAAAGAAAATAGTTCCTACATGAAACTGCTCACAACAAAGTCTGTGGATTATCTTGGGTAACCAAATCATGATTTCTGTGAAGAGACATTGCTGCTGAGTTTTAAATGTATTTTTTTTTTTTTGGTGATTTTAGCAACCACAAGCTGAGGGCTGGCCTATTTTTGGGATTGTTGCGGCCTGAGATGCCTGATTTCACAGCAGCTTTTCTAAAAAGTAGGGATGCATGCTGCAGTATTTTTAGGCTTTTTTAATTTTTTTTTTTCTTGCAATAAAATTGCGGGCCATATGAAAATTGCAAAAATAATTTGTGATGGTGGATGGTGGCTGACAGCTGATGAGCTAAACAGTCCCAACAATCTCACACTGACATCAAAAAGGCTCGACTCGGTTAATAACCAGGCCCTCCAGGATTTTGCTGTTTTTGGAATAGTTGCAGCATGAAATAGCTCATTTCACAGCGGCTTTTCTAAAAAAAACAAAGCACATTGTAAAGTTTGAGGCATTTTTTTGCAATGAAATTGAAAGGGCGAGTTAAGATAACATAATTAGTTGTGATGTTGTCTCGAGTCAGACATCTCTACGGCCGATATCTCCAACACTCTGCAGCTCACACCAAAACAGTCTAGACTGATAAATATCACTATGTGTAAGAGGAAACATATGCATTTTTGATTTTGGGGTGAACTGTGCCTTTAAGTGTAAATAGTAAATGTACATACTCTGTATTAATGTCAAAAAATATATCTTCATGTATTGTTACTCCAGCACTTTGTATATTGTCTGCCCTTAAAAATAAACAAACTTGATTAAAAAATGGCTGCAGCCTGCGCAGGAACATCCCTCTGCATCAGTCAATCCATCATTATCGTGTGCTTCAGAGCGAACAATGATTTGGGCTGCCGACTGTACTTAAAGTTAGACATCTTAACAAGGCTATTCAAGAGCCTTCTATTATTTTGACGAACTAATCAGCAACCTGCGACGTCTCGGCGGGATTCTCAGCAGATGGTTATTGAAAAGGAATAATCAAGTTTCATATTGCCTTACCGCCGGGCCTCCAGCAAACAAACACCCTCCAAAACCAAACCCTTCTCTCTACCTCACACTACCAACCCCCCGCCTCCTCCTCCTCCTCCTCCTCCTCACCACCACCCTCCCTCCATCACTCTGTATGCAGAGCGTCTCCAGGGAGTGGTAATGGATTGTGAGTAATGCTATCATCCCTTTCTCTGTCTCTTTCTTTCTCTCTACCTCCTCTGGTGAACCGGGAGGATGAAAACACTTGGAGGACTCGTGTCTGGCTTATTGTTTCTTCTAGTGTCTACAAGCAGATTCTGGGCCAGATAGGATTAGCACATTCTGTAGTGTTTGTCCCTGTTATCCTTAAGGGCTCCATTTGTGGTTTCAGGATGAACCTTTTTAATAAGCACTCGAGTCTCCAGCCTGGTCAGATATGGGATATGACTATAATAAGAGCTGGAAATGAGGCCATTTTTAAAATGGAACCCCTATTAGAGCTTTGCAGCGGGAAACTTTCCTTTTTAATCTTCCACCTCGTCGTATAATGTATGTATGCAGGATATTGATTTTTTTATGGTAATTATTTCTTCCATGATAATGTCAGCGCAGACTCATTCTGGTCTGTGTCCACCGCTAATAATAAGCCACTCTGTAGCCTTTCTATGCATCCTGTAAGGAATTAAACACGGTGACTCAGTAGGAAGAGAACTGCACAAAATGTTGAAACTATTTTAGTTAGATCGAAGCACACGAATCTATGCAACCTTTACAAAGAAGACAAGAGATGAAAAAAACTTGAGCTGGAGGTCGCAGCTTTCAGTTCTGCACTGTGTGTGCTGGTGTACAGTTTTACCCTTTGAACTGAGCTGTGTGCAGCCTGCAGCTTAAGTTTAAAAACTCAAATAATTCCAAATTGTTCACTCTTAAAGCAGCTCATTGTGACGAACTGAATCTGCAAATGAGGAGTAAGAGATCATTTCACATCAGCTTTTTTTGGGGGATGAAATTCTGTAGAATGAAATCAAGTTTTTCTGCAGTGCTAAGTCTTATTTTTTCATTTTTAACTCAGGATGTTGACCCTCAGATCAAGGCTGCGTTACACAAAAGCACCTTTACCCTCAGCATAGTCTTTGGGTGGGACAGAGGGGACATGTCCCCCTCACCATATCCGTACATTCACCCCCCAGTAAAAACAGAAGACTAGAACATGACTCATGGGTGCAACAATGCCTTCAGTAAAGTAGTTGGTGGCCGTTTGCAACCTCAAAAGTGACAGTTGCAATCTGCCATAACACTGAAACATGAAGAAGCAACTCTGCACGGTTGAAGCAGGAAGTACTGTGACATTTCTGCCATAACATGATGCAGAAAAGGCACAAGGTGGTGCATAAAATTCAACAGAATGCAGAAAATGAAGTCTTTAATGCTCAATTTTTTGGGGAACGACGACTCCAAGACCTCGGCCCTTTATTCTCAATGGAAAATAAGTCGAAGAATTTCAGATAATTTCAGAGAAAATCAGGTTTGAAGGCTGAAGATCTGACATAGACTACATTTTCTTGTCACACTGACCATTTCTGCTGTGTGTTTTTTTGTGAATACCTGAGTTGGGTTTCCTGCAGGTAAATCTTTGGGGATTCACACTGTTGCAATGCTGCAGCTCTTTTTTTTTTTTTTTTGATCATCAGATAGGTGTGATGAACTGCTCAACTCTTACTGTGCTGTTCTGCCCTCTGCTGGTCACTCACACACACTGTTCAGACTCAAAAGGTGTGACGAATCTGCAATGTCTGCCAGCAAAAAGAACATATGTCCATTTTTGGGCAACATTTTACATTTCATTACCCAAAGACAATACAGTTTTTATATTTGTACAAGTATTTTGCACAGTTGTAGATACAGACATGAGGTCAGGTTGTGTATTAAACAGTAGAGCTGCAATGATTAGTCAATTAATCAACAAAAAACAAAAATTAGCATCTGTTTTGGTCATTTTTAAAGGAAAAATAGACTTTTTTTTCATATATGATAGTGAATAGAACATCTTTGGGTTTTGGGAAAAAAAAAGCTGTGGGAAATTAAACTTTCCCTCCTTTATTCTGGCTATTTATACACAAAACCGTTAATTAATAATGAAAACAATCAGTCGTCAGCATACATGTATACTGTGCTCACAGTGCTAATATAGTAATGATTTGGACAGTATATCAGCTGAAATTAGGCCGACTATAAGCTTGAGAATTTGCTGTTGATCATATTGTATGAACGTAAAAGGCAGCACTCTGTTTTTACGATGCTTGAAATGATGCCAGTGACAATTATTACACTTATAAAAGGCTTAATTTATTACACAAGTCTAGTAGAACAAAGTAGCAAATTACAAATTATACACAGCAAAGAACAAATACATTTTAAAAGTAGTTTGTTGTCTTTTTTTTTTTTTTAAAACAGACAAGGAACAAACAGCATCATATAAAAAAAAGGCACCAATGACTCTTTCAAACCCTGTTTTGAATTCTTGTTGTATCAAATGGTTCGTCCCGCACTCGTCTTTGCTCTCTATTTCACGTTTTCAAACATCCTTCAATGCGCTATGTTCTTTTTTTCCAGAGGTCGTTATAAGAAAAGTGCCCAGTTTTCCTGATAATTACAACCTGAATCTGTATTTCCACTGAGGGATAAACCAACACGGTTTAACAGTGACCTGGTCTGGAGAATTTCTGGGCCTGGGTTGATAATTTGGTCTAAATAAATGTAAAAAAAAAAAATACAAAATAGGCAACATCAGCATTGATCTATTTGACGTGGAAGCCTCTGCATCTCTGAGCTTCTCCATCGTCAAAAAACAGTGCAGGCACCAAACGGCTGGGAATGAGTGAGATGACAAAAAAAAAAGCAAAAACAGCAGCTCAGAAATAAATGAGTTCCAAACTAGTTTGGGTCGATAACAAAGAACCACAACAGAAGCCAGTAATGATGCAATTCCAAGAATCAACAGGGTCGAATCGAGGAATGCTGTAAGATGATGACTGTGGAGAAAATAAAAGAATCGATCCCCGCTCGGCAGGGGTGGAGATAAAACAGAAACAGAGTCGGTGAAAAACCCCACTGAGGGCAAACACTCCTCCGTTTTGTCTGCGACATAAAGGCTGACGTGACTTTTTATGCTCTGCACACTAACCTTGAAAACATCCTAAACAACTCCCCTGCTCTAATACAAAAGTGTGTGTGCATGTGTGTGTGTGCTCATTGTGGTACTACACTTTCATTCTGGATCCAACATTTCTACTTCAGCATCCAACATGGACCTGTGACACACCTCACTCCCATAATATCACATACATTTTCCCCTCAACCAACGCAGCTAAAAGACGTCTGTGTGAGTGTGTGTGAGTGTGTGTGTGTGTGTGTTAACCACGTCGTGTTACTGGTGGAATTAGGTGTAAATTTGTGCCGTACATGCTTTCAAACTTGCTTTACACAAATGAGCCTTTAAACTATTTGTCAAGTAAAATGAGAATAGCTGAAATCTGTACCTACAGTATGTTAGTGCTACGACAGTTTAGTAATGTGACACCCCCTTTCCCATTGAAACCAGCTAAACAATAAGCACAGGCTGCATATACAGTCCTGCTACCATGATATCATCACAGAATTATCTAATGTATGCATATTATCAAGTTGTTTTTGTCCATAATTAAAGCCAAAAGTTTTATTTTCTTAAAACAAGTGAAAAAAAAAATCAGATAATTTGACCCTTTTTTCAGAATTTTCTGGTATTACTTCAATTAATAAATTGTTTTTGTCTATTAAAAAAAAGAAAACTGAGAAAATGCCCATTTCACTCCCTGTTTTTTCCCAAAGAAGGCCAAAATCTAAAGATACTCAATTTACAAATATATAATATATGCATATAAGAGGCAGTAAGGAGAAAATATTTGGCATTTTTGCCCGAAAATGTGAGTCGAATTATTAATTTAATATCAAGACCCTTCTGTCAATCAACTAAATTGATGAATAAACTAATCTCAGCTCTAATAGACTTTTTTTTTTTTTTTTTTAGAAAACTTTTGAAGTTATATAATCTTTTTATTTCACTTGTTTTAAGAAAACAATGAATCACAAATTTGCAATTTGTGAATTATTAATTTGTCAAGAACTGTAATAGTTACTTAAACTATGGTACTATGGATCTCCCCCGAAATGAAAAACACTCACATTCCTCTCTGTTTATGCACCTAAAAATACAACACTATGAATCTGTAATTATTATTTCAGTGGTAAATGTAACAACAGTCTCACGAGACAACAGGATAACCACAGTAAATAAGGAGTGTTACTGGTTTGTTATACCGTATATGCACCATAATACTACGACACTAAAAAGACCCTTGTATTAATATAACCCCAGACTATAAGTAAACATACCCCCCTCCCCCCTCGCCATATCTCCTGTTTCTTAACTCTTAAGTAATAAACCACAAGTGCTGGAAATTCAACTGGACTGGGAAAAAAATGCAAAAGCTTATACAATTTAAATAAAGCCTCTGATTTTTAAGTGCTTTATCGCACATGATAAATGTTCAGGAGAGACGTGATGGAAGAACAAGAGGAAAATGGTGCTGTTTGCTCAGAACATAGAAAAATTGTTCAAGACCTTCAGGGGGCATGAGGCCACTATAGCGTTGCCGTGGAAACGCACTGTTATAAAAATGGTACCTGTCTTTTAATCACCGCTGCGCTGTAGCATTTTTTTTCTCTTTCCCCCTCTTCCCGTTGAGGGCAGATTGTGGGGTTCATAATAAGGCAGGCAATCAGGGGAAAAAAAAAAAAGAACCACATGACCTGCAAATCAATTCCAGTCCATGCAGAGCAGAATCAATAGGTGGATGTATAAGAGCCGGCAACTCAATCTGCATTATATTATGTAGGGCTGAATGAGGGTCGTCCACGCTGAAGACTCCTTCACACACAGCACAACCGCACTAACCAGGTGGTCCAGTTACAGGGAATATTTTCAGTACATCCTTATTAAAGTAAAGGAGATCCTGGACTAGTACATGCAAGAAACAAAAAGCATCTTTAATTGTAAATATAATCCCTGCCACCTGTGACATTAGATGTTTCCAGTTTGATAAACTACTGTAAACATTAGAAATGAAGTGTAGGTCTACATTAAGGCACTTTTGTGTTGTGTTAACGACAGCATGCTTCCTTCAACCCAGAGCCTTTTTTAATGCACATTGAGGAACATTAAAAATAAATTAAACAGTCATTTTGTACATGTTTTCTCACATTTGAGATTAATGTAACATCAGAAAAAGGCTTCAGTAAAATACGGCTGGGTCCTCAGCTGCTGTGTAAACACATGAGCGAATACTTTAGGTGTGTAACCGCGTTAAAGAGATCCTTTAGCACTGACCATGATGTATCAAAGTCTGAAAACTACCGGTGTTAAATGGGCACTGCTGTGAACTGTTAATAGTCATCTCAAACACACACTGCTGAGACTGAGACACACAAACAGCCCAAACCTTTCCTTTGGAAAGTGAGTCAGCCATTTTGTGGCTGTTGGTGGAAAACGCGCCCTCACTGCCCCTTGCACCCGCACATTGATGGTTGTGGCTGGTTGGAGGTGCGGCAGCGTTTCCACAGCAACGGGGCGCTGAATATGACGATGATGCCCAGGTTGAGGACGAGGCTGGCAACCAGCACCCCGATGGTCCCCAGGAAGGAGGGCATCATTCCGTGGCCCAGAAGCCACGCCCGCCGTGACGTCATGTCTGCCATCACGCCCTCCATCTGGAAGTGGGTCCCCACCACGGCGCTGATGTGGAAGAGCTGGTGGCTGTGGCCTGTGTGAGGAGGGAAGACAAGATTCATTCTGTGAGACAGAAGAGGGAGGGAGCTAAAATTACTACTACCTTCACCTCAGATCTGATACTGTACGTACAATTCTATATGTAACCCCACCTAGATTGATAGTAGGAGTGAGCGATGTGACCTGATATTCTTGACTATATAATAAATTAGTAAAAAAAAAAAAAAAAAAAGATTATTCATTTAAGAAAATATAATTGCAACAAAATAAGTGACAGTTTACATGTCACCCAAACAGTTCTTCAAATATTCAGTAAAAACTAAAAGTATCTCTCATGTCTTTAGTTTGTGAACAACAACAGTAACTCAGAGTGAGACTCAGATTCTGTACACAATATTAATAGTTCAACTAAATAAAACCTACCACTAATTACACATTTAAACAGCTCCCAAATACAAAAAAAGTCCCCTGGGATCTATATATATATATATAAATCAACAGGTGATTTCCTTCTTTTAGTAAAATCCTAAATGGTTGAGTTGTTTTTTCCACCTGGACCTTTATGCTCTGCCATTTCTCCTCTAATCATCACGCTGTAACCTGTGACAGGCTGTTATGATACCACAACTATCACACATTTACATTTATGTTGTTTTTTGGTTGAGTCGCGAGCGTCATGTAGGTTTATATTACCAAAGGTTTATGACAAAATCACTTGACGACACCGACTCCTGTGTGCACGCAGCGAGAGAGGAGAGGGAGAGACGCTGTGCTGCTGCCAGAGGAGCCGCTGAATGAGTTCCCTCTGAGCGTTAAGTCACTAAAAGAGTCTGAGAAGTCCGGGGCTGTTCATAAAACATTCAGGACGCCACAGTTTATTCCACACTACTGAAGCTGCTCCTCTTTTTGGAACCACCGCGGAGTCGCTAATAATTCTGCTTTCAGGCATGCTTGTCGTTGCTGTGGGTAACAGTATGATGTCATATGCAGACAAGTCGAAATATTGCGAGTATCACGATAAGAATTTTTCATATGATAACAAAAATTATAAGTATTATCGTGAACAAAATGATATGGCACACACCTTAACTGATACTACTGGTAACCAATACTGTCTTTCAGAGGCTGTAGCGGCCTCAGGTTTGGAATCCACTGGTACCAACAAAGTCATGTTAGCTTGTTGAGAAAGGGGTTAAGTAACGCTCCAAAGTTACGCTAAATTTTGGCAAGAGAAAAACTGACATTTTCACAGGCGTCCCTTGTACTCTCACTTCAGTATTTCTGAATAAAAAGGTATCTACGACTACCCACAAGTCTCCCGCTTTACAGATATGCCCATTTTATGCTAGTCCCATGTAGATCTGGGCAAAAACTACTTATGACTGTAAAGCTAAGACTCCTGTGGATTCAATGAGCATAGACTGGATGAATGAGACTTGGGTTACACCAAATGAGTTGTGTGAAAGTTTGTAAACGGTCATTTTGAGATAGTTTTACTGTTGTTAAATGCGGCCCCCATTCACTTCAATTCATCAAGAACTTTCTTGTTTCTTTTAATGTTCCATTCATCACGGAGACATGCAAGAAAACAAAATTTTCTTCATGATTTCAAGGTAACACTGAGTGAGTAACTGAAATACAAATGATCATTTGGAGGGTGAAGTGTTCCTTTAAACTTTACTGTGTTTTAACTACTGTTAGTGAGCTATTTTAACAGTGTTAGCAAACCATCTCGCCTTTCTCTTCTTTGGCACAATCAGTAACAAACACAGCAGGTCTTCTTTTGTGTGTGCCACAGGTGCAGGAGATTTTTAGACAAGAAATAAAAAAACACAACCTGTTTGAAACCTTACCAGGGTAAACAACTGTCCGCTGAGCAAAGAAACTGGCAGAAAGTTTACACGCTATCAAATAAAAGCCTGTTTGATACTGAGCTATTGTTTGTGTCAGTTGTCCAGTAGTCAGAGAGGAAAACATTCAAGAACAGGCAAAGACAAAGACAGCAAATATAAAAGTTAAAGCCCCATGAGGAGGGTAAAACCTCGCTGTGAAAATGTTCTCTATAACTCTCTATTTTTATCTCGGGATAAAGCATCTCCTTACAGACTTACAGTAGGGAGAATCAAGATTTTATCATTGCATAAATGTTACAACATCCATAAAGGACATACCAAAGTAGTCGAAGCGCCCCGGGGCCAACCTCTCCGGGAGGTGGGCGGTGAACAGGAAACAGGTGAGGAAGGCGAAGAGGAGGTGATAACAGTGACTGGACAAGGCGTCACTCGAGCTGCAGTTTCCCCCCAAGCACAGAAGTATCTACGGACAGATTGTAAAATTAAATATATTCACAACAACACTAGAAACCAACATAGTAGACATGTGGACATAACTATTATAAACAGTAATGGTTAGAGCATTGTTAACAGCATTTTTGACCTGGTTAGGAACAAAAAGAAAGTCGTATTTGCACAAACAATCCCAGTGCTTAGAGGGATTTATTGATGGCAGCGATACATTTGTCTAAGACTGAGAAAGGAAATCAGTTTCTGGGTTACTGAGCCAAAGTCCTGCTCAAAGTATCACAGCCCGGCACTAATCAGCTCTGAGCACTTACACAATGACACAAAACAACACAGTTTGTGGCTTCTGCATAACACATCAGTTCATAGTGGAAATAAAAGCTTCAAATTCAGTCAGAGAAGAATGTAAGTGTGCATAAAGTCAACTTAATATGTGTTGATAAAAGCAGATCTGAAGACAAAACTGATACTCACCCTGTAAAACAGAGGAATGGTGTCAAATATAAAAGGAACGATAAACGCTCCGGTCCTTACAGCTTTACTTCTCTTTGGGAACTGCAGCTCGAGGAATCTGTGGACACAGACAGCAAGATATACATTTAGACAACACCGTTTATATCGATGTAGGGTCAAGTTGGGTTTACTCCTCACAGCTCTGCCACACTCATTCCCTCACAGTTTCTCCATCAACACTCAGCGACAACACAGACGTTTCATATACAAGATGTATATAACGAGGACAAAGTGTCTCTTGGTCCTTCCCTCCCTCGGCCTCTCTGTTAATGCTCTGTGTATGAATTAATAGCCTAAATAAATTAGGGCTGCCACTAACGATTATTTTCATTGTCGACTAATCTGTCGATTATTTCTTCGATTAGTCGACTAATCATTTCATCGAAAAATGTGTTAAAATGTTGAAAAATGTCGGTCTGTCTCGCCCAAACCCCAAAATTACGTCATCTAATGTCTTGTTTCATACTCACGCCAAAGGGTTTTAGTTCACTGTTACAGGAGAGTGTGTAAAGCTGCCAATATGTGAACGTAAGAAGCTGCAGTAAGAGTATTTTGGGGTACTTTTATAGTGCTTTTCTATGAAAAATGACTCAAACCGATTAGTAGACTACTAAAATAGTCACCAATTATTTTAATAGTTGATTAGTCATCGATTAGTCGACTAATCATAGCAGCCCTAAAATAAATAAAAAGATCTGAATAATTTTCCAGCACTAGATTCATTTGAAAGGCCTTTTTCACTCCGCCCACAAAGATTTTTAATTGTACCAAACTACAATGGTTTTAGACCTACTTGATACTTTTATACTCATGTTGTAGTTTTGTGTCCTGTGCTGCAAACCTTTAAACCTCAACCTAAACCTCTCAACTTTAAAACGTCCCATCAGTATGTACAGTATATTGGTCATAATTAAAAAATATATATATATAAACATACGTCAAACTGTCTGCTGTAAACATCTGCATATATTGATATCAATATCAGCCTTAAATATCCTGTATCAGTCAAGCTACACTTATTGCATGAGTTAGTTCTCCTGTCTCAGTGCAGCCTGCAGTGTATATCATGAAATCACTCTCACTGCACAAGTTTGAGACTCTTTATTCATATTACTCTTCAGCCTTGGTGTTTAACGTTCCAGTGGACACTGGCAGAGCTGCATATAAGTGAAACCAGCGTTTGCCTTGATACTCGTGAAAGGCAAACTGTCACTGACTCCTCACTCTCACTCAGCAGCGCAGAGGAAAACCACAGCGTTAATCAATTTTGCAGTAGTTTTATACTTTAAAATACATATTTATACATGATTTAAGGACAGATAAATCTTCATAAGATGCACCAACTGAGGTCAGACTGATACATCAGTTTACTGCAGATCAGGCGATAGATAATGCAGGGAGGCAGATTTTTTTTTAACATTTGAGGGGACATATGTCACGCAAGTGATCCGTGGAGTCTTCCCCAAAGGGATATTGAGCATCAGACTTCATTTCCTGCATTGTGGTGAATATATATGCACCAGCTTGTTCTTTTCCTGCATCAATTTATGGTGTAAACGTCAGAGTGCTTCCTGTGTCAACCGTGCATAGTTGCTTTATCTTCTTTCTGTTTTATGGCAGATTGCAATCTCCTTTACTGGAGGCACTGCTGCACCTATGATTCACATTACAGCTGTGCATTTAATTTTTAATTTAAAAGTCCTCTGTTACTTTCATGTCTGTAAAACATGAAAAAATGCACAGGTTGAGGGGGACATCCCACATCCCACAAATGCAAAATATTCCAAAGGGAGTTTTTCACATTCTTGGCCAGAAGCAAAGAGGTGTTAGAGAAGCAGGAGGCTCTTACCTGGAATAGCAGGACAGGCTGGTGCAGAACAGTGTGTTTCCAATGGCAATGGGGACAAAATGCTGATGGAGCCAGCTGTTCACCCAGCAGTCTGGCATGACGTAGTATCCGTAGCTCATGGCACAACCTGAACACAAACACAGGACATTCAAAAAACAAGAAGTTAATTGATTTGAGAGGTTTCTTTAAACACTTTTGGCTTTAAGGATGGATTGAATACATGACCCCAAATAGAGACTTCAAATAAAAGTTGTGTAGTAACTTAGTGCTGGAAAACGTACCGAATGAAACAGTGTACTGTTTTTTATTTCCTGACTGATATGGACTTTGTGTACTGTCATGCTGTGAGCCCCTAGAGGAGATGCATTCAATGGGCAATTCAATGTAAAACGCCCAAACTAGATACTCCAAGAGGAGCTGTGATGCACTGTGACACTGCCAAAATCCTAAAATATACCACCCTGCACCAAAGTAACTACCCCTGGTGACCTGCTACACTTGGGCCTTAGGGTCTGTTCTTTTGATTACTACTATTTACTTATTTATTTGGTCTCATTTTTCTAAGTTCGTCTGCACATGGCATTGTTTTGTCAGTTACAAAAAAGTCTTGCCTGCTACAGTGTGTTTCCTGATATAACCACTGGGAGGCGCCAAAGAGGGACATTTCATATTCTTCTTCCTGTTAAAATCATTTAACTTAACCCGTGTCTGCAATTTCACACTTTGTTTTTAATCCTAAGAAAGGATCCGTCCACCTGAAAGCTCCTCATTAACCTGGAACAATTCAAAGCACAGATTAGATGTCGTCCTCTTCCTGGGAGAGCATCAGCTGCACTGTGTGTAGTAGACTGTAAAGTTTGTTCTCCTGCAGTGAGAAAACCCTCCTGCAGCTCTTATCCCTGAAATGGACTTCTGAACATTTGAAACTGGGCAAATCTTGGCTCTAAGAAGCTTTGTGGTAGATTAAGGAGCAGTCTGCAGGGAGAGGGAGTGAAGAGGCCGTCAGTTAATGTGTGACTGCTTGTCCGCATGTGGCATATGCTGCTGGGATCGTAACCCATAACCTGAAATGCACACACTGAACATACACACTGATAAAGCATACAGTAGACCCATCTTAAAACACATAAGTCTGTATGATTCTTTAGGTAAAGGGCAGACTACATAAATCTGTTTTGCATGTACGTACTCGCCTGCAAATGGGCACATGGCAGTAAGAGCAGATGCTGCAGGAAAAACACTTGGCACAAGGCGAATACCATGTTCATTCTTTGTTGAAAAAAAGAGGAGAGATACTTTTCAATGTGGTTTAACATGATATGGAAATAAGACATGCCCTCATCACATCCAGCCGACATGCACAGGTATGTTTAGAGGCAAACAGATGCAACAGTGCTCTGTATGTTCTGCTGTATCAGGTGGATAACGGATTACAGTTCCCTAAAGGGTGTCATATCAGCGCACTTGGACATCGATAATTACGACAAAGAATATGCCAGCTTTCATCTAGAGATTATTTTAAAGGTATATTATGCAGAATAGTTGGTTAGTGTTCGTAGACATGCTCGCAAAATCGCAAAAGTACAAGTAAAAGTCGACCGAGGATTCGCTCTACTTTGGTGTTTTTATATTTGGGGCTTTGTGTTTTTGGGCACTGCGTCTCTTGGATACCTGCTGGTTACAGTTTATAAGTTTATTTTTTATTATTTTATTATATATTTCTTATAATTTTTATTATTAATTATTTTTCTGCTTGTTTTTTTCTGACGTCAAATATGAACCAAGTAGCATGAAGCACCAGTTGTATTAAACGCCCTGCTCAGCTTAACAACAGTTGTTAAAAAGCTCAGACAAACCTCTCATTCACCTCTGAGTTCTGCAGAAAAGCAAAAAAAAAAAAAATTTGCACCAAACTTTGAACTTCTTGGATTCAGGATCCAGCACTGCGTCTGAAATCTTACCCAAACTGTAGAGGCTGAGGGCTCCGTAGTCAAAGAAGTAGCAGATATGGCGGGACTCTGGGGACATGGTGCTGAAGGTGTGTGCGCAGCTGGAGGTGAAGGGGTAAATGCAGATGAGCAGCATATACACCAGCAGGGGCCAAGTGTAGCTGTCGGTCAGGAAGTTCATGGTGGAGCAGAGGACACAGAAGCGCCACAGGAAGTACCTGCAAAACACCATTTAGTCTTATACCAGCATATTTATAATAATCAACTCGGCTCAAAACTGCTACTCCTGTCCCAAGTTTCCCAGGGCTGTTGTACTTGGACTGAACTTGTCTCAGTCTCCCGTTTATTTGTATTTTAGCTTATCATGTTTTTAGGGATCCTGCCTCAACTTTTTTCCCACCTTTCTAAAAATCTTCATAGTATGTTTCATCCACCTGTTTATTTTCCCTCCAACACTATGAAGAATTAAATCCTCATACTTTCACTAATCCTCACAAACTCCTTCATGTTTTTACAGCTGGAAAGTTACCAAGTGTTCGTTCTGCTGCAAGTTTTAGTCTTGAATACAACTAGATTTGCTCTGGTCTCAGCTACAAGCTTGTCTTTAATAAAAAGCATTCCATGCATTTTGTTTGGGAAAATGTGTGTGTGAATATGTTATGCCTGATTGTAGATTTTATAAAACGCTACTTTAAATTACAAAACCCTTGTGCACGCAGAAAGGACTGTTGATGTTGTTGTCATCACAAGATGATGATGTTCGTATCGATGATTTGTTCTATTCTGTTCGTACCCACTGATTTATTGAATGCACCCGTTTTATTTTTGTTCTTCTCTTAGGTAAAAGACATTTTTCCGAGTACATGAGTGCACTGTTACAAAGCTAAGGGAAGAACGCATCGTTTTTGCAGTCCACAAATTGTTATCCAATGCGAGGAAACACAAGTTTCATATCTAAGGAACATGAAAACAATGCATGAATATCATATAATCAAATTTAAGATTATCAAAATGTGTTACAGTACTTATAATGTTTGGATTTTTAAATTTGTGGCTATTAAATACTACTGATACTCTGATCCAAATTAAGACTACTGTACAGTAAGAACCCCTTAAGCACATATTAATATTTGGTAGAGATGTCTGTGTTTCTATGACATATTATACAGGGTATATTCAAGTTTGCACAACAGTTGCTGTATATTTTTAATAGTGTATAGTAATGGACTGTGCTAAAGTTGTGTTTATATTTACTTTATTAGTTTACAGGCATAAATTATTTTTTCTTGCACATCAGCACTTTGAAGCAGTAATCCATGCCTTCATCACATCTCGGCTGGATTACTGCAACGCACTTTATTTTGGCCAGTCCTCCCTTGAACGTCTCCAGTTAGTTCAGAACGCTGCATCTCGTCTGCTAACTGGAGTACGAATGAGAGAGCACATTACACCCATCCTGGCCTCCCTCCACTGGCTGCCTGTGCACTTTAGAGTTCATTTTAAGATCCTTTTATTTGTTGTTTCGCCCCGCCCTACCTCTCTGTGCTTCTTCACCCCTACGCCCCTGCCCGGTGCCTCAGGTCAGCTGATCAGCTGCTCCTTGAGGTACCGAGGTCCAAGCAAACGCTTAGAGGAGACCATGCATTCTCCGTTGCTGCTCCAAAAATGTGGAACAATCTACCTCTGCACATCAGACAGGCCTCCTCACTGTCTGTTTTTAAAACCCATCTTAAAACCCACTTTTACTCACTGGCTTTTAACCCAGCATGAGATCTTGTTCTGTTTTTATTGTTTTGTTTTAACTGCTTTTTATTATCTCACTGTTTTGTTGTTTTATGACCTCCTATGTACAGCACTTTGTTTCAGCTGTGGTTGTTTTAAAGCGCTTTATAAATAAAGTTGAGTTGAGTTGAGTTGAGTATTTACGACAGATATGGTGCTGTGAGGCACTTAAATGTGCATGAGAAGAGACTGTTGACGACGTTGTGCATAAAGACGACATAAAGTCCTTTTTTAACATGTTGTGCAGTGTTTAAGTGTATAATAACAGATAATAGTGAGAGGAATGTATAGATATAGGACATTGAGTCAGTAGTGGATCGTACAAGATGTCATTTTTTTCTTGTTTTTTTTTTTTTGCATTCTCAAGACCTTGTTCATCTTTTTCCCTGCCTCGTGTGAATACTATGAATGTCCACAAAAAGAACACAAGTCAAAACTGCGACACCTTGCAGACTATGTGGCCTGAGAACTTTGGTATGTTAAAACAGCCACTGTAACTATAAAAACCTTTGGGTGATATGATGTGCATTCAGCCTTTAAATAGCGTATATACTGCTCCTAGGTGCTTTGGCCATTCAGGCCTCGTGCAGATAACACATTTTTAGAGATCACACAGATCTACAGATAAATGGCTGCTGAGCAATGTCGGAGTGCCAAGAGCACTGCTGTAAAAACTGTGTAATACTCTGGAGCCTCTACACTTGCATCTGTCCAATTCTTGGGCATGTGCCAGTGCATATGCACACGGCACAACACCTGCTCTTGTGTGGTCTTTAGGGGCACGTTCAGTATGCTAACAACAATCGGCCACGTGCCTCAAATTTATGATCAAGTCAGATTCATCATTCAGCACACCTCGGTAAAAGCAGATTTGGTGCATCTGGAATGAACTTTTCTTATTTTTTTTAAACAGAAAAATAAGAGAAAACATAAGAGAAATTAAAGAGAATGTTGCCGCATTAGATCTACTGTCTCATATCAGATGTTTGGTGCAATAATAACACACCAAACTAAACAGACACATCTGATGAACATGTGACAAATTAAAAAAAACCCACTGGACTCATGTTTTTGTACACACCATGTTGGCAGGAAGTGGGTCCAGATGTTAACCGTCTCGTTGGTCATCTGGAAGCTGCTGAGGACGCAGTCCAGTGCCGAGCTCCGCGGGTGACGGTAACCAGAGATGATGCTATCCTCCCTGAACACCTGAGGACCAACCAGACAGTCCAGGTGAGCAATTACACTGTTCAAACGTCTGCTGGTCCCTGTGGGGAGAAAGTCACTCCTCACTGGAGCATACCTTTGGAATGTATGACCTCTTACAAGAATGGAGAATAATTCTGACTGAAACTGATGTTCCGTTGTTATAGTGGGTGCTTCAGTGCAGTGGTTTGTGGCGTTTTTGTGACCATTTAAAATGAAGCGATGTCCACCTTCATCCCCTTGTCACAGGTTGCATATCTGACTTTTAAAATTCCAACATTTTTGGTTAATTTGAATAATTGTTAAAAGCCATAAATAGCAAAATATCAAACCTTTCACAAGAAAATAAATTACAGTTTGCTTCACGAAAACACAAATATGTAAATCAGAACTTGTAGTTGGATGTGCTCAGACAGAAGATAAACAAAGATGACAAAAATGTAAATATTTTCCCAAGTGGGAGGAGATCTGATATTAACTTGCCAATTTGAACACTCTGCAGTCGAGCATTTCAGTAACTGAGACTATGCTTTGTAACTTTTAAGTCTAATTTGTTTGTTTATTTGTTTGCACTGCAGCAGCTATTCTTCCTGGGGTCTACACAGTTACATGGTCACAATGCGAATTATACAGTCACACTAGACAACACAACACACTTAATAACACACCATAATGCACATGAACTTTTTTAATGGTCTTTTAAAGCTTCATGTTTTAAGCACAAATGTAGTTAATCAGATTAAGATACTTCGACATACACTGTGTGTGACATCTCCACAGCTATGGCCCTTTAAGAATCTCTCTAAAAGAAATGTTTATGTTCCTGCTTCATCACTGACTGATACAAAAATGTTATTCACCCTAACCTGACTTCAGATAAGCCTCTGCCACTACTTTTTTACTTTTACTGTTGGTGTGTGACGGTGCAGTTGGCCTCTCCAGGGAAAAAAATCCTCCAGCACACGATGGGAACTGATGTGTTTTACACAGTGAGAACAGCTTGATTGGAATAAACAGACAAAGACCCGGATCATAAAACGAACAGCCCACTTATCTTTGGAAACTCAAGTATTTAAACACCACAAATACAAAATCAAGGACACTGAAACTGTTTGGAAACTGTAATATAAAACCCCTAAAACAATGACTGCTTATCACATAAGATAAGGTCACTGCTGCCATGCATTTGGGTTTGGCTTCTTGGGAACAGAAAATTGTTTGTTTACATTGTTTAAATACTGGAAGGTATGCAGCTGAATTGTGATGAAGATACAGAGGAAGAGCAGAAGAACACTGTGATACCTCCTGTAAAACACATTATGGGGATGTGCTGGTATCAAACAAATAATTAAAACAGTAAATAGGACTATCACAACATTAATCCAACTTCCTGTAGTATTATTACAAGAGCTGACAGAGTAAAACTACTTACAACCATGTTCGCCTTGGATGCTATCACCCCTCCCTGACAAAACAGCTAACCATATGATGAAGCTTTGTTCAACTCACCAACATTAAATACACTAAAAATACCGTAAACAAAAGCAGATTAAAGTCCAGATAAAATGGCATTTTGAGAGCATCTAGCTTCAGTGTCGTGATGTATTTCTGAGTGAAACAGAAAAGGCAGGCAGGCTATAACATTGTGAGGAATCTGATTTGATCATTTAAAATTGGGTGCCTCATAACAGTGAGGTTCTGGAAGTGGAAGTAACGACGGGATAGTAGTATCCGTCAGGGAGAGAGAGAGAGAGACACAAAGTCCATCGTCGCCTTCATGTAACCTTAGATGCTGTAGCAGTGCACATAATCTGGAGCCGTCACACAGATCCCACTTTCTTTAAAGTGAATACATTTTAGCCAGTAACCACGGTATTCTGGGCAAACAAATACACATTAATGTAGCGTGCTGTTGCTAGCTAGCTAGCTAACTAACTTAATCTTGGCTCTGTGCAGCGAAAAGTTGCAGATTAATTGATGGGTGGATGTCATGAGGATATAGGTTGAAACTGGTTGGTGCTAGCTTAGGTAAGCATGTCACATTTTCTTCTACAGGAAGAAAACATGATTAGATTTTAATATAAGAAGGTAAGGTAAAGTAAGGTAAGGTAAGAGGTAAAAAAAGAATACATAGAAACTGATTTTTTTGCATTTGCACCACCTGCCCTTCTGCACACTACAGTCGCATTTTGACAGACACATACAACGGGAAGAGCTAATGCAAACACGCTAGGAAGAAGACTGCTGTGTGTCCGATGTAGCAGTAAATTTAGTGAAATTATCGAAACTGATCCTCTGTCTGACTTTTAACATCGTAACTCAGCACCCACAAACTAGCTGCTCCTCAGTCGGTTGACGAGCTAATGTTAGTGCAAATAATAGGCTACTGACTGACATTGAAATCTCCAAATAACGCCAGATTATCTCCATCTACAATATAAATTTAGTCCTCAATTCAAAATTTTACTGAAAAACTTGATTAGTGAAGCTCATGGCACCACCTTGTGTGACCTAATGCCACACCAGTTCCTCTTTTTTATGCAGTCAGTGACTGTAGAGGACCTGCCGTGAGGTGGCGACAGGTAAGTAACTTCCTTACCTGGAAATCACCACAGGACATTTAATTTTTACAACAGGATAAAATAAAATGTTAAAACCGAATACCTTGTAAACCTTGGAGAGAGACCTCCTTCCCTCCTTACCTTGGGGACCTGGTGGATGTCAAAGAGTTCGGGAAGCTTGATGCTGAGCATGTCTGTGGGCAGTCTGATGGCACCTCTCCCTTTCTGACAGACTTCCCAGAGTCTGGCTCGTCCCCCACGACAGAGGACAACCCAGACGGGGTAGTCAAACACCGGGATCCGGGCCCCTTGTCCTGGACTGCCTGGCTCCCATCGCAAGCATCGTCCCCAGCCCTGGCTCCAACCGCCTCCGACGCCACTACCGACCCCGATCCCTCGCCACACCGGAAACACTGCGGAGACACAGAAACAAACATGAATAAATGCGACACCAACAGAACAATAATTCCATAACTCCACAATTCAATAATAAACCCATGAAAAGATACCTATTATATTATATTCGATTTCTGCCAATATATCCCCTAAATCCTACACACTGGACACACACACACACTAACAACATATTGGATTTCCCAAACCTTGTGTTTAAGATAATATTTGCAAAGATGTTCACGGAGCAAAATTTATATTAGCATTAAAGTTTATATGACAGAGTCCTCTGGAGAGTGCGGCCTTTGTTGACTGGAGCCAACACTGAGAACAATCTCTTATTGTGGCTCCTCTTGAGACATACCCAGACATCTATTTGAAGAATGCCCGGCATTGTTACATTGCAGTGGCCTGTGACTGGAGGCAAAGCATGTCATAACGACATGTTTGTAAGGACAGCCAATATTACACGGTACATTCCTCCCCTGTCAACAGAGGGGGAACATCATCAGATAACAGCTTCTTACACCAAAACATGATGTTTACTTTACAGACAGGCTGCACCTTGACAACATCTGTCTGTCAAAAATACTAAAAAATGACTTATTCTAACAAACACCAGTGTTTCCCACAGGACTTTGGGAAACTATGGGGGCGGGGGGGGGGGGGCAGACGACTTGTATACAAAATGTACAGAAAGGTAAAATCATCAAGTTTTGAAAAAGTATTGCAATTTAATTTTGTCTTTAATGTTATTGAATCTTATATTATCTTTGTAATATGATTATCTTATATAATGTCCCACCTCCGTCCCTCCTACCTGCGCAAGTCGGAAAGAGGGAAGAGAGAAGGCGTGGAGTGGGTTTTACACACATCACACCAATCAAATGAGCCCCTCTACTCGCCCTTAAATGAACCACAAAAAGGAGTAATGAGAGTTTAATCAATTCGCCATGGCAGAAGAGAGCAGCAGCGTCAGACGGCCAAACTCCTCCCAGGAGGAAACTGATGTTTTGGTCCCGGAGGTCTGCTCGCAGTGTCAGAATATACGGAACTGCGAGCAGACCTCCACGGGCTGATGATGCAAAGGTAGCCTGGGAGGAGGTCACCACAGTTGTAAATCAATGATGCGTTTCTCTCGTGCACGCGCTCTCTCTCTCTCTCTCTCGGTCTCACTCTGTTTCTTTTCTTTTGACTTTTCTAAGATGACAGATGCTGAATATATACTCCCTATCTGATGCTGTGGCTGTTTGTGGTTGGCTGAGAGGGATGTGAACTCATTAGTTTGCAGCTGTGTTAATCAAATCAGGTTGGGTTTCCATTACGCGTGCCAAACGTGCCAAACGGTGCCAATCCCCTTTGATCTGACATCAGATGTGACGGGACAGTCGATATAGAGATACATTTATGTGCTGATTGCAGATAGTTGCATTGAATGGTGGTTTTTGGTATTTATTGCATTGTTAATGTGCCTGATATTCTGGAAACCTGCCTGTGAGGTTTTGGTGACGTGTGCGCACTGTCCGCCGGTCAGCCAAACTTCAGCTTACACCGGCCGCGCTCCCCCTGAGCTGACAGTAGACCTGGTTTCAGATGGCGAGCTTTTAGCGCACCTTCGGCGAAGCCTTTTGGCACGAAACTGTCACTGTGCCAAGCTGGATCTGTCGACACCTCCCCCTGCTGCGCCGCCACACCCATCTCAGCGCACCTCGGTCTGCCAAACTACCAAACTGAGAGCGCCTCGGGTTGCGCTGCTCGAAACTAGCTCTGCGCAGGGTTCGCCACCCTGCGCCACCCTGCGCTGCGCCAGGAAACTAGAGCCCTTTGGCTTATTTCCACCCAGCCGACAGTGGGACTTAGATTCACTGTGCCGACAGTGGCTTGGAAAACCGCCCATAACCGTGTCACACGGGGAAGAGGGAAGAGGGATGGCGGCTGGAGTTCCTCCAACATTTGCGGTTAGATTATCATATTTTTTTATTGACAAAAATATAGGCTGCTTTGGCTGATTTTTTTTTATGCGCACATGTGCCCCTAAATATTTTTTACAGTTCGCACACGTATTTTTAGTGGAGTGAAACGCTCCCACTGTCGAGCGCTGGATCTGACAGCCTGAGCACATCGGCACAAAACGCTACGGCGTTCGAGATATTATTTATATCATGAGAAGTCAATACTTTCGGCAGCCTAAATCTTTTATTTAGAAACTATGGCGGGTCAAATTAAACCAGCCATAGCCATAGTTTCATTAATTAATGGGAAACACTGAACTCATCAGCAGGTATGGAAGTTTGCAGTTGAGTGAGTAATAAGCTGACAGTATTTTTATCCTCCGCGTTTTTCTTTTTTACCACTTAAGGTGAATTATACAGGATTTTCCTAAAAACAATGTATAGACTCATACAGATATAATCCCTCTTAATCATCACTTATGTCTTCTAAAAGTGTGTGGTGGTGTATTTATCTGCAGAAACTCTGCCTTCCGCTTGTATTTTCTTATTTTCTGTGCTTGTGACGTAAATTGACGTGTACCCTCAAAGCGCTCAGGTAATAGTGGGGCCTTATAAAAAGGTAGCGACCAGATGCCAGACCGTAAGCAGCAGGCGTCCCAGAGAGACAGTGCCAAAAGAGACAAGACGCCAGTTGGGTGAATCTGGGGTTGGCTTTTAGTTTCACTTTCACTGGCGAGCGTGTTTACAAACTATAACCGACAATCCTACATAGTATTCTTTTAAACATAGCTAAATATATATATATCTATATTATGTATTGTTTAAAATAATTTTTAATACAAAAAAAACATGATTTTTAAATTATATTTTCTTATCTCTGTGCAACTCCACCCTTACTTCTGTATTAAAATTCATTAAGAGATGAAGCTCTGCACTACAGCACAACAGATGCATGGCGAATATTACAGGTTAGCTCATGCATTAGCTTAGCATGATAAGAAATCGCAGTACAGAAAGGCAACACATATCAAAGTGGTGTTTCTGTACATAATGACGAAATCCAAACTGAACAAACTTAAAATGAATGTACTCTTCTTATTTCCTATGTATTGTTCTTTTAAATTTCCTTTTTATATCACTAAACTGTAAAGATGATGTACTTGGAAGAACATGGTGAAAATACAGCATGATACAATTGAAAAAAAAAAAGAGATAATAAATGCCATGGGTAATTTAGTTATAGTTTGTACACCAGAACACACTGACAAGTTTATAATGTCCCGCTCAGTACATATTTTGTGAACAATTCTTCAATACAATAACTAAATGGGGTCCTTTGTGTAATGAGTTATGAGTTTAAGTTCAAAAAAACTTTGGCCAATATATTGGCAAGTGTTTAAACTCTCAAATATTGATAGCATCTGCCTCAAACTCCGGTAAGGGTCGGGCTCTAATAAGCATATGAAAACAAACAAATGTTAACCACTAATAAATTACATTTAAGTTATTTCATTTACTTACGAAAAGCCCACATCCTTAAGTATAAAGCAAGGTTTATGCTTCTGCACACCTACGATGCAGAGGGCTTTGCAGAGGCGTTGCATCCCTGTGCGACCGACGCAGAGATGGGATGTGCACCTCCAAAAAATTGTAACCACATGTCGAGGCAATGCAGACCCAACGCAGACCACAAGAGCTATGATTGGTCCTTCAAACTATGTCATTTCTGGCATTTTGCAAGGTTTCACTTCCTGCTGTAGTACCACAACACCGCCTGGAGCCATTCAACGGGCGTACAGACCATCAGTGCAGTTGCCTCTCTCTTCGTCGTCGTCGTCGTAACATTTGTAATAAGAGCATTTGTTGTTCAATGTCGATCATTTCGAGCTCCAGCAACGGTCTTTCTCTCTTGGTCGCCATCTTCACTGTGACTAGAGCAAAGCCAGAAGATAAACAAACAATGAACGAGCAACGACCATAGACGTCACAGAGTCTATGTAGGTATATAACAGAACACCGCGCCCCCAAGCGCTTTGGTGGAGAATTGCATATCGACACAGACCAACAGGACGTAGAACTATGATAGGCACACAGCAACTGCGGAGCAACTGCATGCACGTTGTGTCGAGTGTACGCAGACGCATAAAGAAACTTTAAGAATGTCCTGTAAGGTCAAGCTACACACACACCAAAACTGCCTTTTTGCCATTAACACCCCCTGACTGTCAGTATAAACTGTCCTGTAGGGACATTCTTGTTTCGCTGTAGTGATATGGTTGCACTCTTACAGAAACTAGGCCAAGTAATCACAGTATCTTCCCTTTAATACACATATTGGACGTGACAGTGCGATCACAAACATGAGGAGACATGAAAACAGTCACTTTCACCTTCTTAATATAAAGTGAATTTCTCAAACTGAAAGCCAGAGCTGTATCAGACTATAACCCTTTCAGCATTATTGACTTGCCTGTGCACATCAGAGTTCGGGCATTTCCCCCCCAGTCTCTCCTGACAAGCGTCTTTCCTGACAGGTCTCTAGCAACGTGGGAGCAACAAGAGGAGGCCGCCGCTTCCTGCAACCCAGCTGCAGGCGCCGGCCTGTTAACTGTGACAAAGTGAGCTTTGTGGAGGCTAAAGCCTTGAGAGTGCAGGGGCCAAAGGATGACTGTTACACGCTGCACTGGATGGAAATGAGGCTGCTCACAGACCCACACACACACACACAGTATCCTGCCCTGGAGAACATGCACAAATACTCCCAGCACTGACATGCATGCACACTGGTACAAATCCTGCATTCATCACGGCTGGATAATATCTGAGCCCACAAGGGAACACACACACACACACACACACACACACACACACACACACACAAGACCGCAGCTTGTGTGGATGACAATAGCTTGGAAAAGCCACTGGGTTCACTGCAGTGTGGAAAAAAAACCTAATTTGAATTCAGATCATCAGCATCGCGTGGTGCCGATGATTTGAATAGACATGTTAAGATGTGGATGTGTTTTTGTTTGGCAGACTGTGTGACTGATTTGAATGGTAACATCTAT